CTGGCCAGGGCTTTATAAACTTTTTATTCATTTATTCAACAAGTGTTTTAAAAGAGACAGTAGAGAATAAGAAGCTATATTCTGATATCAGGTGGACTCAGTATTTAATTGTATGATCTTGGCAAGTTATTTAACCTCTCGGTGCCTCAGTTTCCTCAACTGCACAATACCTAGAACACCGCTCAGCATAGATGAAGTGCTAACTGAGGATTAGGTAGCTCCCTATGAAGCTGTGTTCCTAGCACTGTGCTAGACACTGAAGACTGTGGGAATAAATGACACAGTATTTGCCTTCCAAGGGGTCAGTCAGGACAGATCATCGCCGTATAATTTGTCAAATATGTACATATAAGGAACACTTGAATTGTTGAATACACAAATAGCTTCTTTCATAACAAAGAGTAATACTTTAAAGAACCCAAAATATTGAAAATTTACCTTTGGAGTGGGTGATGAATTCACTGGGGTTCAATATATTTTTCTTACTACTTTTGTTCATGTTGGAAATTTCACATAATAAAAAGTTGTTTTTAAAAACGATAAGTCATTTTCTCTTTTAAAGGATAAACCACAAATTATGTAATTTGAAGGATTTTTTTTCACACCAATGTCTTCATGCTACAAATTAACTGTCAGCAGCAATGTTTCCGATTCAGAGGTATTAAGAATTCTCTTGACAAGATTGCCACCTACTGGATTACTTTAAATTCCATCATTTAAAATTTTGTGATTTAAACACATTGAATACCACTAACCCAATAAAAGGCAGGGTTGGGTTTTTTCTCCCCCCCCCCAAAAAAAATAAATCCAAGTATTTAAAAAATATCACAGATCACAGGAAATTCTGCCTGTTAGGTTGAGCAAAGTATTATTTAAGGAAGAGCATCTCAGTCAATTTTAGAGTAGATGGTTACAGAGGTCAACTGACAGATGTGTGAAAAAGCAAGGAAACTTAACATGGATTTAGTAATTATTGCAGAATATATGAACTCACAGTTGTTAGATATTATCATAAAGATTAATTATATTAAAATTAAAGCAATATATGAGGGAGGACAACGCCCCCCCCAAAAAAACAATATGATTATCTTTTGGAGGGCGGGCCCCTTGGTAGCACAGGCGTCCCCCGCTAGGTGAGCATTCTGGGAACCCGTCTGTATCAGCGCACCAGCTGGCCTTGTTGTGAGAGGCTGTGAGGGGTTTTGAGAGGCTTCAGTGAATTTTTTTGAAGACTCTTTCAACACGTCTGCCCATTCCACGACAGGTGATACACAAGCATTTGCGCCCGTGCCGAGCTGAGTGTTCAGCAGTTTTTGACCAAAAACAGCATGACCCCCATGCCGCACTCTCCCTGTGCACCAGATCTAGCCCCAAGCAACTTTTTTTGCTTCCCCAGATAAAAAAAGTCAATGGAAACATTTTGCCCATGTGGAAGAGGTGAAATAAAAAACCACAGAAGCACTAAAAAGCATCAACATCAATGAGTTCAAAACTTCTGTTGAGTGGAAGAAACATCTTGGTAAGTGTATTGCACCAAATGGAGGGTAATTTGAAGGTGCCTGAAGTTTAAACATGTAAGAATACATACACAACTTTTTATCAATAAATTCCAGTTTTTTGAGGGTCCCCCCGCATAGTTAAGTGGCTATATGTAGAATGATTTTAACTACCCTAATATTATGCAAATGTGTACTTGGGATTTATGTAAAATTGCTAATGATAACAATATATACTGATTCAAAAAGTGCTTTGTCTCAACTTACGCAGAAGTTCAGATAACATGCTTTGAAAATGCCTTAAAAGTATTCAAAAAGTAGCTGAAGTGATAATGAAGACACTGATGTTGAAGAATAGTAAAGAGATTCTGTATAAAGTTGTCATATGGACATGAGAGTGCGGAAAAAAGCAACATTTCTAAGTTATCATTTTGTGTAATCTATTTAAAAAGTAGGTGTAAAATGTATGTGGAAATGTTTAAGTTAATCAAGAAAATATTATGATTGGGCATTCAACGGTTTCGCCTTCATTCATCAAACTGGGGGCCCCTCACTGGAAAAACAAAGGATTGCACCTTACATGCAAGCACGGTAGAGGACCCTCGTGCAGAGGCGTAACAGACCACTCAGCCATAGAATTCAAAGGCTTTTAGGTGATTACTAAAAGCTAGGTCACTCCACTCAGCACCTACCCCCTCTCTGCCTGTGTTACCACAGATGTGCTAAATGGAGAGCTGCCCTTTGTTAGGCCAGAAAGAACGAGCCAGGGGCAGGTCATAGGACCTAGCTTTTAAGGGGGCTCCAACTGCCAAATTCTGGAACCATCTGAACACCAAAATAATTCAGCACTATAGTGAATTATAAACTACTGCTGGGGTGGGGGTAGAATTCAGGAGTCCAGACCAATAATAAGTAAATACATAAATGAAAGAGAAGGGAGCAGTCTGGCTTACATCGGAATGCCGCAGGCTGATGGGCAGTAAGTCTAGGAAAAGCGCAGGAGACAGAAAACTCTCCTTCTGCATTCATCACAGTAAATATTGGATCGGACAAGAATCACAAATGAATAAATAAAGGAGGAAATTTTGATGAGAAGCAGGATATTTTCATGGGTATCCCTACAGATAGCTTACTAGTTACAAGGGAGGAAAAAAGGAACTCCAGCGGGGAGCTCAGCCATCCTTACTAGGTAATCACAACTAGCACCATCAGCCAGGGACAGACTGGCACCAAATGCCTCCAGGTGTGCGGCACCATGAAGGGAACCTCACCTGGAGCATGAAGAACCTGAATCTAAGCATGAGGAAATGGTAGACTAACCCAAAATGAGTGATGTTATATTAAAAAGGGAAAGGGATGCATTTTTCCAAAAGTGTCCATTTCATAAGAGACAGAGAAAAGCTGCAGAAATGTTTCCAGATGAAAGAAAGCTAAAGATATATGACAACTAAACAAGGTATGTGGGAACCCTGACCTGGAAGAGGAAAGGATGTTCCGGGTTAACGAACAAACTGGAGACAAATGGCAAGTCAGATAAAGTATTGTATGAAAGTTAAATTTATTGAATTGATAACATATAATGTGGCTATAGAAGAGATACCCATCTCCTAAGGAAGTACATAAGAATAAAACACAGTGAAGTATGTAATTTACTCTTAAATTGTTCAGAAAAGCAAATGCGTGCGTGTGTGTTGTGTGTATGTGTGTAAGTAGGGAAAGAAAAACAGGGAGAGAGACAGAGAAATCGAGAGGCTGACAGATTAAGAAAGTGGGTGTAAAGCAAATGGGCTCAGTATGACCAATCGGTGGTCCTGAGTAGAGAGTATGTAAGTGTTCTCTGTAGGTGTTTTATTTTTTTATCTCTTCTGTGAGTTTGAAAATAATCCCAAATAAAAAGATTGAAACTTTGTTATATCTACTGCTAACCAAAAAAAAAAAATCTTAATTCTCATCATCATTCTTTTAGGACTAAAATATTCAAAATCAACAACAGCTTTACCTTCAGCTATTTTTTTTTTTTCAGTTTTAAGAAGTCATCAATTTTAAGGCCGACGACTATTTTCTATACCACCAAGAACAGAAAAAAAAACAACACATGACAACTATAATTACAAGATGTCATCAATTGTTAAACACACCATAATTTCAGGGATGTTAAATATGAAGATGTGCCTCTTAAAATTGATGAGGTAGGGTTTTTGTGTTTGGTTTCACAAGCAATTAAAAACACATAGGTGCATCACTCTACCAAGACACTGCAGAGAACTCTTCCTCTTATCTGGATACCAGCAGTAGGATCCAAAGTAGGAAGAAAGTCAAGCTAAATACCTGACACTCTAAAGAAAGCTGCAGACACCTTTTCTTAGATTCGACTGGGACAGAGGCTGCCACGATGCCATCAGAGCCTCAGCTGGCCCCGGCCTCCCTCCCAGGCTAGAGAGCGGAGGTTTGGGGGAGAGGGAGCGGTCACAGTACACAATACCCTCGACAGAGAGGCCTTTTTTCCCTCTGTGATCGTCAGTTTCTCCCACTCCTCCAAGCCTGGTAAATAGGTATATGTTTTTACTTCCAGCTTTTTGCCACTATAAATAATGCTGTCATAAATATCTTTTTAAATGTTCTTAGATGTACTTTTATTTACAATGAGATACATTCCATAGAATGAGACAGCTGTGCCTCATTCTAGGTATTTTTTAATCCTCATAGATGTTGCCACATTGCTTTTCAAAAAAGATGTACACACACGTTAGCCTCCTCCTCCGTATCCTCACCAGCTCTACCTGTTATTTTTCCCAGTCAGATATTTTATTGTTACCTTAATTGGGACATCTTTACAGATATGTTTGCTGGCGATGTGAAGGGTATACTATTTATACCCTTGCTGGCTTTTCTCCTTTTTTTTCTTGTCAATTGTTAAGAAATTTATATGTACTGTAGACATTAATCTTTCATCTGTCATCTACATTATGAGCATTTTTCCAGAACTATCATTGGCTACTGACTTTATTTATAGTATATTTTGTCCTTCAAGAGGTTTCATTTTATACAAATATATACGTAAGTAGACCCACACATATATGTATGTATACGTGTGTATGTGTATACACATTTATACATTTAAAAGATATGTATCCATCTTTTAAAGCTGCCAAAATCCCAATAGCTACATGGACTGTTTAATAATAAAAAATGTCTTACATGTAAATAAAGAACTGTAGGAAAAAGAGATTTGATCAGAGTTGAAGACATTACTGAAAAAATACAGCCATTTCATGTTTATTGCCCTCATCAATAAGATTTTCAATGAACCAGTTACAGCTAACTTATTTAAGCATGGCTAAAGCATTATGATTCCCATCCTCATTCTCTTTTTTAAATGAAGAAACTGAAGTACAGTGAAAAGCCACAGTGAGTAATATAGTTGAGACTCAGTAGTATGTCTCTTGAAACAGAGTAACAACGTCAATACAGGTTTTTGGTAGCATTTAGGAGCAAGCTGCTTACCTTTCAATAGCTAATTCTTTGTTAGAAAGTTGCTGCACTGTAATCACAACCTTCTTCTCTATTCCTTGTTTTAATTTGAAATAAAATTTATCTCTATCCTTAGGCACAGGACTGAAATATGCAAAAAGAACAGGACTTATCAATACAATAAGTAATATAATAAAACAAGATAATCTACTCCAACCTTAGAATGAGACAACAAAGTATTAATATTTATATACGCAACAGGACACATACTCTTAAAATGTACTAAACTCTCACCCTGCCACTCAGTAACAAACTACAAATTTTATAGTCAACAAACTCTGACCAAGGTTAAAAACAAGATTTTTAAAATAATGTCATTTCAAATTTTAGTTTTTAAATTTAAAAAATTTAGGGATATGATTTAGTTATTTTTGAAGACAGTCACGTCTCCGGTTTAGCTAGTAGTGCAGTCAGAATTCTTCCTCCATAGTGAAACCGAAGGCCCAAGCACACAAGGACTTACTTGTAAACATCGAGAATTTGAGATGCTGTGACATATCCGGGAAAGTATAAATTAAAAATGGACAAAGGGACATAGGTTGCAGCAGTGTAGCCTAGGCCAGACTGACTATTCTTAAGAATTATCATTAAAAGAGTAAATGTCTAACATACAGGTTGTCTTATCTGAAACAGAAAAATACCTTGAGCAACTTATTTGACCTAAAACTCAATTTCTGTACCTGTAAAAAAACAAATAAAATACCTACCTAACAATCATTGTTAAAATTGAAAGCACAGTTAAGGTACATAGGCGACCACTGTCTGCCCAGTGAAGGACATAGGTGTCCTATCTGCCTATTTTTGAACTGGAGAGAAAACATTCTAAATATACTATAGAATGAATGGGTTAAGTAAATGATGCTCAAACCACACAATATACTATTCATAACCATTAGAAAGTATTTTGCTTAAGAACATTTTAATGGAAAAATTCTTACATCATAAAGTTAAAAGAAAAATCTGTTTATAATAATTGCATAAAAATACCCCTTAGAAATAAAAAAGGGAATAAATAAATGACTAAAAGTGACTGTCTTCACCAACAAGACTGGCTGTTTTTTATTCTTAACTGACAAGACTATATAGCTGATATTTTTTCTACCTGTATTATTTTACTAAGTTTTATATAATAAATATCAGTATTTTTAAATAGTAAAAAAATCATTTACATAAAATATCTGAAAAGCATGAGAAAAGTGAAACATATTCATTCACCAGTCAAATGATTCTTTAGGATGTTAAAGCTTTATACAAACATTGTATAGTGTCTAGAATTATTGTATTAGCCAACATCATATTTCAGGCACAATACCAATTTTTACTCTTTCAAAGTAACCTCACCTAAAGTTTCCTTTTCCATCATCTTCTTTTACCTCTAAGGAGACACTGAAGGTAAACACATCACTGTCGGGGGTCGGAATAACGGAGTCTTTAACATCAGACACTTGTCTGGAAGAACGCTTGAATGCTGTAGAGAAACTATATAAAATTCTGCTTACCTAAAAGAATAAAAATGGAAGAACCATTAGGCAAAGACTTTAACTGCATTTGTATACCCTTCTCACCTAATTCTTGAATCTATAAATTTCCATGATCACATTTTTCTTTAGCAGATATAATCTAAGCATACTCATATACAGTTTATGTGATATAGCTTATAATATATAGTGTACATATAGTCTAAAAATATAGTTACTTCTTTTAATCTGGCATTTAAACAGTAATAAAGGTATTTAAGTTCATATAAGAACTCTTTATTTATAGATGTTTCTAGACCTCAGAATATACTATATTGCAATGAATGAATCCAAAAATAATTTCTAGAATACTGCTGGCATCTAAACCTTCCCAATCAACACACACAAACAAGGTTTTAGCCCTAGTCATCAATTTCCCTTCTCACTTCCCTTGGCTTCAGAGGACTAGACACTGAGGGAAACACTGAAGGAAGCAAATACTGGTTTTAGCAACAAGCACACACAGTAACATGGTTTAAAGAGCTTCTAGTGTTGTTATGCAACATTGTTATGCTGAAATGGTCTTATATGTTTTATTAGTACTAAGCCACCCTGCTGATTATGTTATTTAGATATCTAGACCTTAAACTCTTCCCCTGAAGTGGAGAAGTACTCTAAATTCCACGCTCTTCCAGAAGTTAGTCTTTTCCTTGGTTCCAAAAGAAGCATCATATCCTCTCCCACCAGAGTAAGTCTGAAGCACAAAAGACCTTCCAAATCTTTTAGGCCACCATGAGTTGAAGAAAAGAAGATGAAATAAGAAGAATTTTACAAATATCATATTTTCAAAACCTCTCATTGGGAGGAACAAGTAAAGAGGCTTTTCGGAATGTTAATAAACCCTTCACTTTATACGGAGTGGACTCAAACTTGAATCCACTGAGTATATTAGTCTAGGATTAATATTTTGTAACTTGCTTGAAACAAGCGCACTTTCGTCAACAAAATTTCTTAAAAGTATGGGCTCTTTCTTCATTTTTGTTATATTCATATTATACCTTTTCTCATTCAGGCTATCATATTCAAAAACAAGTGATCTTCCAACCTCCAATAGCCATACTTACATATATTAATCAATGAGCTGCCCTGACAATGCTAAATTAATAGCTTAAATTAACTAACTTACACACTTCTGTTGCCTGCCAGCATGAAGTTCAACTTCAGCTGTAGCATCATATTTGTATCACCTTGTACATACATTTAAATATGTTAGTGTGTTATCTGGCTTTAATGCTGTATTAATTAGTAAAAACAATAAAAGCAGCAAAGGACTGACATTAATAAAACCTGTAGGCCTCAAATCTTATACAATTAAAACAATGATAAATTTACTCATTCATTCAACATATTTTGAACATGTTCTGTGTACTCAGTATTATTATAGGTGCACTAAGTATCATACCCCAGTGAACATGGAGCTTACATCCTACCACATGTAAGCTGAATGAGCTTGAGGTAGGGGAGGGCTCATTAGGTAAGCTAAAAGCAAAAATGTTTGGTCTCAGCTGGATACTTACTTGACTTAGCTCAATAATTTAAGTGTTATACAGAGGAAAACAACCCAAGACCATGCTAGGAATAATTCACTGAAGATTTTGCCTACAGAATAAAGTGCAAATAGGGACTTTACTTTCAGTTCTTTGAGTACTGCCCACCTCCTAACCACTCCCCCCCAAAAAATATGGAGTCTATTGGTCCCTTTTCACACATTTCACTTCAGCACATTTTTAAGAAAACATTACATGTGAAATAGAGTAACTCTACTTAATTTTAGATATATTTGTAGAGTCAAACCCCAACATATTTCTTTTTTCTCCTCTCCCATATCTTCTACTTCACTTATGTTGTCAAAGCTATCAGCAAGCCTAGCACATTGTACCACACCAAGAAAAGCCAAAAGACTGGCAATTTTAAAGTAGATGGCAAGGCTTAGGAATTTCTTTTTTAAAAGGTAAAGTACATGGGGCTAAGCCAGAGTGATAGAGAATAAAGGGGGGGTGGGGAAACAGATCACACCTTTCTCTCCTTTTGAAGGAAGGGCACAACAGTACATTAACAGCATTAACAGCAATCACACTGCATTTAGTCTTGACTGTGCCCTACAAGTTGCTTCATAACAAAAAGTTAAAATCATTTGTGTATTCTAGAGTGGGTGGACAGACTAGAATGGTGTCCACAGATTGGCAGAGTAGCTTCAGAGACAAGAATGACCAATAGCTGTAATTACTGGAACAAGCTGGGTAACCAATACCATGGGAAAAAAGTTAAAAACACATACCTTTGCAAACATTTCTCTATATGCCACACTATTACACACACACACACACACACACACACACACACACACACAAATAATATACTAGGCCTTTTCTTTGCAGAAGGCAAAGGTTTATTGACCAATAATACAGTACAATTTCCCCCCAGAAGGTAGTACCAATAGAAAGCACTAATTAAACACAAAACTATATTGGGATTGCTGCTGCTGCTGCTGCTGCTGCTGCTGCTGTTGCTGTTGTTGTTGTGCTACTTCTGAAGAGGTGGGGAGGAGGGCACATGTAGATACACGGAAAAGAGACACACCAAAATCCTAACTCTGGTGGAAATTTGAGTAACTTTTATTTTCTTTTTTATTACAGTGTTTTCCAAATTCTGAAATATGTATTACATGTTAACAATTTTAAAAAATGCCATTAAACAAAAAGGCATTTACTTAAAATAAATAACACAGGTAATGTATCCAAAATAATGTCTTTTCACTAAATATAGAAAAGAGAATCAACCCTTTGAAAAGCACCTTATGCCAGTGCCAGGCAGGTACTGGGGTTACTGGGGGGCGGAATCCCGTAGTTGAATTATACAACTGTCTAACCACTATGCTGTACATCTGAAACTAACATTAAATTTAAACTACAGTTGAGAAATATAATACTTAAATAAATAAAAACACTATATGTCAGGAAAATACTCACCTAAGAAATAAATGTAGAAAAATCATTCTATAAAATATACCCAGAAAGATATGTGTTAAAATATTAAAAACATCTTGCTTAAATATATCACTCACCTAAAGGGGCTAAAATAAGAGGCATATCATATTAAAAAAAAAAAAAACTTTTTAAAAAATTTTAAAAATCTATTTAAGGAAAAATACCAATAGCAAAATTTAATTAATTTCCAAAGAAATATATTTTGCTAAAATAACTTTCAATAAATATGTTGTAAAATATTTTTCCAAGTGAGGAGTAAGGTCTTCTTTTAATATATAGAGGTATATCAGCAATACTAAGAAAAACCAGTGCATGAAGAATTAAGATCTTCCCAATGATACTTTTGATATTTACCATGAAATATTTCTGAATGCCTAATACCAGATGGTAACAACCATGCTTCTAAAGCATAACATTGAGAATTGTTAGCAATGAATAGCAAGTATGTTAGAACACACACAACACAAACATCAAAATCTGTCTTGAGGAAAATGATTACACTGACTAATGGAAATGAATTAGAGCATCGACTAAGCCTTCTGAAGTATCTTTAAAAACAGACCGCAACAAGAATAGGTGGCTCCTTGGCTTTTTCCTCTAGGTGCTCTGATATTTTGCTCTGATATTAGGCGTTCTAGCCCATCATTCTCCTGTACAAAGACCACTGGCACCAGGATTCTTCCGGCGGGGCTCCCAGCTCTTTCGCCATACAGAGCTGAGATTCACCCCAGCGGAGCCCTGTAGAACATCCAGGGCAGTGAGTCAAAAGCGTGCTAGCCCTTCTGCAGGGCTAGAACCCCTAGTGCTTGAGCCACAGGTCCAACAAAGTCATCACCCTCACTGGCTTCCCCTCTGCCACTGCTAGTGCCTGCTGCTGAGGGGACCCACGGTGAAATAAGGGCATGACAGTGACAGCTGGTGGTGAAAGCCATGCTGCTTATCCTCCTTGAGAAGGCATCTTCTTGTCTTTAACAACCGTCTTCATGTCTCATCCAGGGACTCTGAAAACAACAGAAAACAAGTTAATAAGCAGCACTACCACACAGTACGTATTTAAGCTATAAGACTGTCACCTGTTCCTGAGCTGTTTTTGCCAATGGTCTGTGGCCATGAAGAGGGGCCCAAATACTAAAGACTAAAGTTACTCCTACACCACACAACAAGAAAGTTCTGGGAACCAAATAACCAGACAACTCGTAGATGCAAGGAAAGGACTTCAGATTAACTAAAGGGTAATTATGTGTTGAGGGGAGAGGAAGGCGTGGGACATCTTCTATAAGAGGTACGGGTAGAACCCAAAGGCAGGTGGGATACAAGCTCTGTGGTCAATCGATCCCTGTACAAAGCACAACTGAAGGACAAAAACCCCCATCTGCCTATGACTGAAAATCACAAGGGGCCTCAGAGTCAGAGCCATGCACTGGAAACCCAGCTCTGTCGTCTATTCTCTTAGCCCTGAGATAAACAACGGGTGAGCACACAATTTCTCAGGCAAACCAGAGCTCTTCTGGGAATAAAATGGAGTGCCATTAACAATACACCTGGACAACAGGCATAAACTAGGCCTGCTCCAGGCAAAGGGGAGCCTAGATCGCTAGTTCAAATAAATACTACCTATGTCATAGAGATGCGATGCATACTGAGCAAATGTGTAGCACAGTGCCTGGCATACGCTCTGTATTTATACTAGGCTGTTTTCGTTTAGAAATGATTTCTTGTAATAAAGTTTAAGGACAATTATCATGTATTTCTCCTTCAAACAATTAATTTTACCACTAATGTCCCATACTGTAACATATTGAAAAGTGAACTCTAAAAAATAATAGTAATAATAATACTTGAACATCAAAAAAAAAAAAAAAAAAAAAAAACCACGGACATCACTTTTTCACAACGTGCAGAGTCCCAAATATCCTCTCTAGAAATACGATTAATGCTGTGTAACACTATATCCAAAATGGTAAGGCCGAAAATTCCCCAGTTTTGTCCACTGCTCTCCCACTGTTCAGGCTCTCAAAATGACAAAGCTTTCCCCCCCCACAGACAAGTGGACGCTACAGTCCAAAGAGAGCTCCATACCGTCACAGGTAAGAAGAATGCTCGCAGCCAGGTCCCTTTCGCTTGCTTCCGCCACGGTGCTTCTGCCTCCCCAAGCAGCAGGTCTCCGCCTCTTCTAAGTTCACTTCCTCGCTGTTGAGTGCCAATTTTCCAGAAACCACACAGGCCTGTTAAGTGATGGCTGCCAACATGGAATGCCAGCACTCTACCATCTGCTTCCCCACTTCTGCGGTGGGGTTGCAAGGAAAAGAAACAGACCCCCTCATTCACAAACACACACAAATTCTTTCCTAATATTTATAGTCGCTGTCTCCCATGTGACAGGCACACTTGAACTCATTCACCCTCTTGTCACACCGGTTGGTCACATAGTCAGAGCGTGTGCATGTGTGTGTACATAAACGTTGGGATGAAGTAGATTCAGAATGACTTCTCCCACGGCACGGGTTCTGGCAGAGAGCTGCTATGACTACAGTCTAAACTACGTGTGTCTGAGCACGATCGTTTTGGTGTTCAGGGGTAAGGACTGGCATACCCCTTGGGCTTAGTATCAGACGCACAGGAACCTACACTTCTGTGAGCTTGCATGTTGTGGCCAGAAACAAGTTCTCAGAATTCCTGTTAACACAATGATTTATTTATGTTTCATGGTAAAGAGCAAAGAGAGTAACTGCTGCTTTCAGCATGTTCTGCTCACAATTTATATTCCCCAAAGCACACACAGTGGAGACCTTGCTCATCCAAAGCCACTGACTGAAGCCTACGTACTGGAGTTCTAAAAGTGCGATTTCTTTCTGATTTGGGGAGAATTCAACAGAGGCAGGAAAGAAGGAACTCTTCCCATGTATTTAACAGCCACTTGATTCTGAACTACTTCTCCAGTCTTAGAAGAAACCACCACTTAAGGAATAGCTAAAAGGAACTTCCAGGCCCCCTCAAAGGCCTTCAATTTCACACCCCGGCTATAAGTGAGCATTTGTATGTTTAATCGGGCTAGTTCTCTACAGCAAAAGCCAGCCTCTAAGTGAATGCATGTAACAAATAACACCAGTGACACCACAGAGCTCTGTGCGAGGAAACTATTAGTAAGCGATTCAAGTACAAGCAATATGCAACCATCGCCCCAGAAGAGGAAAAGGTATTGTCAGAGGCACGTTCTGAAATCACATGGGCCAACAGACTTGGGGAAAATAATAAGAGGTGCAAAATATTCCCCCTTTCTAAGCCCAGGTGATGACTACCACGCTAGGTGGGAGGAAGACTCATCAGGTGGCCTTTTCCTGTAACATCTGGTAGGCTGAAAGAGCCCTACCTACCATACCACTTTTGCAGGTTTTGGCTTTCCATATTCAGTTCTTTGCCATTACAAATATGAGCTTTCTCTTTAGAAATAAACTCCAAATTTATAAAATATGGTGTATGGTCATACATACAAATTTATATAACAGCGAGATTAGATCTCAAAAATACTACCCTAATCCTTCTCTATAGCAAATACCTACAATATGTTATACTTACTGCCTCTTTAATTTCACAGGTGAAAACATGTATCTGAAATTCTTCTGAACCATGGGAACTCTCTGTAAATGCAAAGCAATTGCTCTCTGTTGTCCCATCATGTCCACGTGCACAGAATAGCACCTTATAGATTGGAAAAGAAGCTATCTCGACGTTGCTGGACTGGTTTATGATTCTGCAGAGCAGTGATGAAAAATGAAATAAAATATTAACTGTCAGAGAACAAAGGCAAACAGTTTTACTATGCCAATAACATATAAGTATAATCATCTTAAAATCACAAAATAAACCAGTACTAATAATGCAAGAAAATAAATTATCTTCACATATATATGTATATATGTGTATATATATATAATGCATGTTTATATACTTGCTATATGTATATAATGTATATGTATACACACAGACACAAATTCTTCACGTACTTTTGACAATTACTTCATTTTTATGTTTCCTATTATTAGCGTAGGTAGCTAGATAACATTAAGAGGCATTTTGAGCCCTTGCCGGGTAGCTCAGTTGGTTAGAGCATCATCCTGATTTGCCAAGTCTGCAGGCTCATTCTCCAGTCAGGACACATGCAAAAAGCAATCAATGAATGCACAAATAAGTGGAACAACAAATTGATGTTTCTCTTTCTCGCCCCTCCCCCACCTTTTCCTCTCTCTCTCTCTCTCTCTCTCTCTCTCTCTCTAAAATCAATACATAAATTATTTTTAAAATAAAAATAAAAAATAAAAGGCATTTTGACATTTTAAGAGCTATTGCACAATGTATCTACAAAACTATTTCCTAAAAAAAGTCAAAGCATTTTTTACCACAACCTTTTAATTTATATAACTATTATTTTGGCACTTAGAACTTAGCTAACATTTTCTCATATTCTAAACTTCAGAGAATGAGAAAAAAATCAGGAAGTGTTTTAAAAAGATGAAATTAGCCTTCAAAGAATAGTATAGGTTCAGGACACATTCAACCTAATTTCCTAGACCTGGTACACTTACTTTTTCACTCAGCAAATATTTACTGAAAAACTTGGACCAGATACTACTCCAGACACTAAAGGTACAGCAGGGAAAATGCAAATAACCTGCTCCTACGGAGCTTATGTGCAGGGAAAAAGGTGGACAATACATAAAGAAGCAAATAAATACAGGGTGGGGTAAAGGTAGGTTTACAATAATTAATAAACAAGAATACAAGAATAAACTGTTTCACATACTCACAACTATAAACCTAGTTTTGCCCCACCCTGTATAAAATATAATATCAAGGCAAGGAAAATTGCTCTGAAGACAGAAAAAAGCCAGTGAGGGGAAAGAATATAATCACAAGTGGGACTGAAGGCCTATAGAGGGCTGCATGTAGGAGAATAACATATGATTTACATGCAAAGAAACTCCAGGTTCAGATGACAATAAATATTATTCCTGACTAATCCTAAGAGAAAAAGCCATTTTGCTTCTTTCCAGTCTGAGGTAAAGGGCTTAAAATCAGGGCTCACTTCAGTTTTTTGAACCACTGTTATATGACAAGGTGAAGGCAGGTTTTTATGCTGCTTCAGAATAGAGAAACAGAAATTACAGGTATTTTACAGTTATATTTCCATTTGTAATATTCTAAGCATAATTCTGCAAATGCCCCTTGCAAATAAGGAATACAGTCTAAGTCTAAACATGTTTACTTTGCATATCTGCAGAACAAAAGTGAATTAACAGTAAGTCCTAGGCCTGATTTATATATAATATCATCACCACCATCTAAAATCTGCAAAATGTCTAAGAGGGGAAAGGAGATTAGAGCTCACCTCACAGAACCTTCTGGAACATTTGGCACATACAGAGTAACAGGAAAGGGGTATTGACCAGAAGATTTCATGGTTGCCATTGCCCGTAAAGCCTCCACCTCATTACGTGGGGAAGAAACCTTCATACATCCTAAGTAAGTCAGTTTGTTAAATAAAACACTATCTTCTTCAGGTAATCCACTTGGAGAAGATGGTCTGGGGGTAGAAATTTCTGAGAGAAAAAAAAAGCTCAAAAGTTAATGCAAAATTTCACAGTATAATTCTGCCTACTGCCCAAAAACAAATGAAAAATTGCAAACAGAATTTATGTCTCTCTGTTTTTACTTCTTTTAATGTTTATCCTTCACCTTAATTCAGAGTTTTAGAATTAGCCATTTGAAACATCCAAATCTCTCAAAGTAATATCTTACTTAGCTATAACTTCTTTAGAGAAAAAGAAAAAAAAATGCTAATGTTAAAAAAAAAAGGAGTTTAAATGCTATAGAACAATAAGGAGAAAAACCTACACTAACAGTGTGAACTAGGCTAAAAATAATGAGGATTAAATAAAACTAAATCGGTTAAAAAATAAAATAAAATAAAACCAGTTAAAAGTTTCTCTTAGCTGTAAAGATCCTGCCCAGCACCAAATTTAATGGGAACCTGCTTTCCTAAGCAAAAGTAATGTTCAGATATTACATCTCATACCAGTTAACAATAAAAGTCAAGCTTCTTACTTGCTCTTTCCTGGCTTGCTGGCTTCTATGAACTATGTAAGTATTCCAATAGAAATTTTTTCCTCAAAGTAACTGTTATTTTGATGAATGATCCTATGACTGCTTCCCCCAATTCTTCCCTCACCCCGCATTAATGACAGCAACAAAAAACTGTTCGCTTTCATTCTAAGCACAGCATGTAGCAAAGACCACTCTCCCTATTTCCACCTATAACCCACATTCAGCTAGTATCCACCTCTTCCCGTTACCCATAACCATGCTGCACAAAATTAGACTGAAAGCAAAAATAATCTTAAAAATACTGAAAGTAAACAGAGAAAAACAGCATGTTAAAATAGAGAAACAATGAGTGATTCAAAAGACTACAGATTTCTCATCAGAAACTATGGAGACAAGAAGACAGTAGAATAACGTCTATAAAGTACTCAAAGAAAATAACTATCTAGATGCATTTCAAAGAAAGAGACAAGCTAGCTTTCTGGAGTCTCTTTTATAAGGGCACTAATCCCAATCAAGAGGGTTCTGTCCTCATAATCTAATCACCCCAAAGACTCCATCTCCTCACCACCACCTTGTGGGTTAGGATTTCAACATACGGATTTTGGGGAGGACACAGACATTCAGCTTATAGCACAGCATGCCTTTTTATTGAAAGTGAAAATAAAAATAGAAAAAAATACTAAAAACTTATTTGTAAAGCAAAGGAAATTCTTCTTATCTACCAAGATCTTCAGCAAAAGATATGTTTTCCAAAATATATTTAGTGTAACTGGGTGTTGAGAACACAAAAATAGGTACGCAATACATGGTTCCTATCACATATTCTCAGGAATAAGATTCGTAATATCTAAGCCAATGCAAAGGACAGTTGATTCCAACAACCTACTAGAGCTACATTAGATGATAAAAGGTATTTCTTCTCCTCTATTACCATATTAACCATTAACCATAACAATCATATAAATGTTAATATCAGTATACTTTGGGTTTTGGGGGAAGATTAGGAATGCAAGAAATTCAAAAGATAAAGCAAAGCACAATAAATAATTGTTCTTTCATTCAAGAACTAACAAAATTAATTGTAAGGTTTGTTTCCAATCTTGTATTTTTCATTTACTTATATACATATATTTTACATATAGATGTGTGTGTGTGGGTGTATCTCTTAATGAGTATGACTATATGCTAAGACCTATGAGTCTTTACAGTGAATATCCACAAAACTAGAGGCTGTTCTTGGGGACCCCCAACACAGTGCAAATCTCTTCTGCTAACCTTTTAACCATATTTCTTAAGGTACTTTTCCCATTCAGAAGATTTAAGTTTTTATGTTTTAAAATATAACCACATTTTCCTTTCTGATTTGGGTTTTCCCGCCCTGACAACCACAGAATTATTCTCCCATATTTTCTTCTTATAGGTTTATTTTTCATATTTCTATGTGATCCACTAGGAATAAATTTTGCACATAGTGTAGGTTGGGTTATCCTGGCCCTACTGTTTAACACTTTGGCCTGTATCTATCTGTACTTATCCTATGCCGACATTCAAAACGGACTGTGAGTGCCCTAAGCCAATCAGGATAATGTCATCTCCTCTGTCAGAGTGACTTAATGAGGGGTGTGAATGTAACCAAGGCCTACACCTATCAGTTCCTGTCATTCCCCTGACCACCAGAAAATCCTTCATTTGGTCAAATTAGAGCAGAGTAAAACTCAAAACTTTTGTTCACCAGGTGAAAGAACAGAGTCTTTCTCTCTGCCTCCAGGCATGAGCAAGTCACCTAGCCTTACTTTTCGATTTCTGCTAAGTACTTTTGTCCACAAAGGAAGTCAGTTAAGGGGAAAGGTGACATGGAAAAAATCAAAACTGCATAGTTTACAAAGAAACACTACAAAAGCCCAGATAAAACCACACCTCTAGTGTTTAAACAAGCTGAAGCCGAATTTGGATTTGGTTTGGTTTGGTTTGGTTTGGTTTGGTTTGGCTTTTCTTACACCAATAATCATTTTGATTTATAAGCTGGTATTCCTACTACAAATCATGCTGATTCATGATGGACTGATTATTTAATACACTGATGGACCTGATAATGGTATTTTACTTAGAATTTTCACAAATTATAATTTGAAACAACTGTAGTCAAACTGAGTAAAAAGGCACATCATATAAAAGACTGTGCCCAATATACTTCCTTGAGACCCAAGAATTTATTCATTTGTTCAGTAAATATTTATTGAGGCCCTACTATGTGCCAAGCGCTATGTATAAAATGAAAACCCAGACATTCTCAAAGAACACTGAGGCTGACTTCACAGGCAGAGAAACAAACAGAAACATAAGAACCAAAGGGGGAGCTCTTGACCAGCACTAAGAAGCTGGTGGCCCTGACCTTAAAAACAAAACTAACAGGATGTTCATCATTATCGTTTCTCTCTTTTCTGGTTAAATGAGTTCAATACAGTACCTGTATTTGAGGGATCCAAAACTAACTGAAGAGATGGCTTAGTTGTTTGGCTTGCTGAAACCTCTCCAGATGAGTGGTCTGCATTGTCACTGGAACTTTGACGATCAGCAAGAAGACTGCTTTGCCCTTTCTCAGAATCTCTCAAAATCTCCTCCATGGCTTTTTCCAATTGTTCATCACCATTAGAAACTATCTATAGACAATGCAAGATAATTTTGTTTCAATCATATTACGTTTCTGGAGCTGAATGAAAATATTTAATTTCTAGGAGAAATTAAAATGATCTAAATATCTAAATTTAAATATAGTTACTGAATATCAAGAATTTATACAGTTGTATGTAATTTCACTAAATATAATACAAAATCCTGATATATAAACACAGTTAAATTAGAGGATTATTAGTCTCAGAAAAGGATTCCTCAGAAAACACTACAGGCATTTTCCAACTACATCTGATCTAAGAACTCATTTACACAGATTTCCTTTTGGTTTTTTTTTTCTTTTTTTTATTTGTTGGAACACACTCCAGAACCAAGTAATTTTAACTGTATGTGTTTTAAAGAGAAAAATGGGTAAGTTTAAATATAAAGTGTCTATTGTGAATATCATTTAAAAGGTCATATTTCTTACTATAGCATAAACATATTTCTGATTTCTTTATAAATTTTGTTTGCTAGCTGCCAAGAGGAATATTGCTAATTTCCTTGCATTTAAGTTAACTCATGTTTTTCTTAAAGCAGATAAGATACAAAACCCAAGTACATAAATAACATCTTAAACTAAATACATTAATAAAACAGATATTTTTAAAAATGTAAATACTTAAATAAAGTGATGTCATTGATTATTTTAATAAAACTATAAAACTATATATTCTCAACATGATGTAAAATGGGTATTAATAATCTGATTTTTATATAATTTTATTAGATTTATATACTAATATACCTTTGATGCCATGGCTTAAATTGAATAAAAGTCATTAAAAAATATGTAGCACTTTTTACTAATTTCTCTATTCGTGTTTCTAGGTGGATATGCAATTCTCATGCATGCATATCTGGGTTTGTTTGCTTCTTTTTCTTTTAGTTAGGAAAGGCAACACAAAATGAAAAAGAAAAAGGAGCATATCCAAATAAAAACTAAAAATAAAAAACACACTTAAAAAAATATTAGATAATTTTGTTTCAATCATATTACGTTTCTGGACCTGAATGCCGTTAAGTCACATAATAGAATGTCACCAGCTGATTTAAAACCATAAAGAAAATTCTCTGTAGTGAAAGTAAAACATAACTATTTATAGAATCAACTTTAACCCAGCAGTAAAGGAGACAAAGATATCCAGATCAATTAACCTTATGTAGGATTTAACCATTAAGTCCAATTTCCAATTCTTCTTTTTCTCACCTTCTATTCCTTCTTTTTAAATTCCGAATTAAAATATAACCAAAAGCAAAAAAAAAAAAAAAGACTTTAAACATATACAAACCAAATAATGAGCCTCTAGATGAATCAAACATTGATTCTATTCTCACAACCAAAACTTGAGGAAAAACCTTTTGATTTTATACATCTCCTTTCATCTAATTAAAAAGCCCAAAATTTAAAATAGTATCATTTGTAGAAAAGAAGAACTACCTTCAGTTTAGGTTTTCCTTCATCTTTGGTAGAAGTATCATCCGCATGCTGAGGAACCAAAACAAATTCTTCACTGTTCAGTGTAGCCACAGAATCCGATGACCCAGTAACCTTCTGTAACGAAGCTCTGACCTCCATTTCAGTTCTTCAAATGTCTCTTCCCACATCCACCTGGTCAAAATCACAGGGAATTAAACAACTATTAAATAAAAACATGGACTGATTATTCCTCTGCCATTAAATGGTTTGTGTGAAGAATAATTCTGCTCACTAGGTTAATTATCTCAAAACTAGGGAAGCCACCCTCTTGGACTGGGCCACATAATGGAAAGGTACTCTCTTCACCCTGCATTTCCAGACTAAAAGAACCATATTGTTCCCTGAAAAACAAACACAAACCCGCCCATACCTCAGCTAAACAGATTTACTACTGTAACCCTATTTTTCTCCTAGAAATACTGTTCGTGTTCTATTTAATAAAGAGGAAATAAATAAGCATGACACTAGAAGTATCCACAATTCACACACCCCAAAAAAATTCACTAAAATTGTTTTGTAAGTAAATCTAAATGTTTCCTCAGGATAACATACAGTACCTTAAAATATTTTTATGTCACTAATTAACCAATATACAAATCAACGCCCTAAGCCATGTACCTTTTCTTTTCCAGACACATTACCACTTATCAGCCTGAGGGGGGAAGAAAGGTTAAAGCTTTCACACTGCGTTCATATAGCAAACAATGTTACAGTAATCAAATACAGTGTAATTCTGTTTCCTGGGTAGATCTCTATACTACAAAAACTCCACATTCTCTAGATATTGACACAATTAACTTTAACTCAGCATGAATATTCCATAACAGACACTGTACTCAGCACTGGGACAACAGGAGTGAATAGGCAGATGAGTTGCCAGCTCTCCCCTCCTGGAGCTGAGATCTAGTGAGAAAACAAGCAATGAAGCACCTAGGGTGATTCACTATGAATCATACAGCCAAATTCACAAAGCCAAATCACTCTGAAGGCTATGAAGATAATAAAAAGAGGTTAATGTGACAAAGGGTAGCTTAGCTACAAGGTGTGCAGGGGCAACTATAAGTAACGTGGTAGGAAAGGACTCCCCAAAAGGGAAATAAATACTTGAAACCCAAAGACAAAAAAAAGGACAATATATTACACAATCTGCTCAGTGACCAAAGGGGTACCATGACAGAGGGGAAGAATAAGTAGGCCAGGGTAGAGAGGACAGGGCCTTACAACTGTGGTAAGTCTGATCTATGCCGAAAATTCGCTTAGCAATGTTCTTTTTCTAGTTCGGGTACTTACTCATTGCAGCACAAAAACATGGCTGCAATACCTCGTTTTGCCATTAGGTGACACTAACACCATTACTCTTGGGCAAAAAAATTCCCTGCGCACGCGCACGTGTGTGTGTGTGTGTGTGTGTGTGTACATAAAACATATATATCCAGCTTCAAGTTACACTTTTAAAAATTACTTCCTAACTTTATCAAATATCAAAATTTCTATTAATATCAAAATAAAGACTAATTACACTCCTAGGCTAGTGTAATAAGCTAGCCATCACTGAGTTGTTGGACATATTAATATCCTTCCTTTTAAAATGCTTCAAGCACATTCATCTGTCCTCTCAAAGCTTTTCTCATTCTGTATATGTTTCTGAAAGTGCAGTATGTGTTAGAAGCCATGCCGTGACCCTTCCAGACCGCCCCCTGAATCTTCGCTTGCCAAGACACCACACATTCCAAGTGTTCTTCATGTGGCCAGTCTTTCTCCAAGTCCTTCTCAGTGACCACTCCTCTATGTAACATCTACATGTTAGAAATTCCCCAGGTTCAGGTCCTGAGCTTTTTTTCTGATTCCTTGCCACACACTCTTTTATCTCTCATTGTCATGGATTTTAAAATACCATCTATGCACTGACAGTGCCCCACATTTCTATCCCAACCCAAGCGTCTCCACTGAATACCTGATTTGGAATCCAACTCTCTACTTCCTATTTCCATGTGGACTTCTTATCAGTAACTTAAATGTGACCCAAATGGAATTCTTAATGGCTCCTCCAAACTTGTTGCTTGTTCAGATTTCCCATTTCAGTAAGGAATACCACCTTCTACCAAGTTGCTCCAACAAGAAATCTGGGTCTCATCCTCAATGCTTCTCTAATGTCTTCATTTCTCATACCAGCATGTCAGCCCCACCTCTAAAATAAACCCCTCATCTATCCTATTTTCTCCATGTCCATTTTACCAGCCTAATGCATGCAATGTTCTCATCTACTGTAAAAGTCTCCTAATCAATCTTCTTTCTCCAGTCTTCTCCTCCCTAATCTACTCTTCACTGAGCTGCCAGAGAACACATTTAAAAATACACTGGATTATATTAAAACCACAGACTAAAATCTTTTCACTAAAATTCAAAGTCCTAACTCCTCGACAGGACTTTCAAGGCCCAACATATCCTTGCTCCCATCACTTTATCACTTCAGCTCTTCAATTACAGAAAGTTTGGCCCCACTTTAGGGTCTTAGCTCTTCCCTCCTACCTTCATAGAGCTGACGCTTACTGGTATCAGCTTTCATTCATTAAGTCAACAAATACTTAATGAGTCCCTACTACGTGCTAGAAACTATCATGGGAGCTGTAGGCTAAATGATGAGTAAGACCAATGCAGTCCTGGTGTTCCTAAAGCTAATATTCTTTTCTTGCTGTTGTTCATCTTTATCGTATTTTTTTCCATTACCATTTAGCCCCCTTGTTTCTCTTCCCCCCAGCAATTGCAACACTGTTGCCAATGTCCATGAGTCAATGAGTTTTTCCTTTTTGCTCCATCCCTCCACCCACTGAACCTCCCCACCATTGTCATCCTGCTCTCTCTCTCTGAGTCTGTCCCCATTTTCTTTGTTAGATCAGTTTGTTCATTAGATGCCACATATAGATGAAATCATATGGCATTTGTCTTTCTGACTGGTTTCCACTTAGCATAATGTTCTCCAGATCCATTCATACTATTACAAAAGGTAAAATTTTCTTCTTTTTTACAGCCGAGTAGTATTCCATTGTGCAAATACCCCATAGTTGTTTCATCGACTCATCTACTGATGGACACTCGGGCTGCTTTCATGTCTTGGCAACTGTAAATAATGCTGCAATGAACATATGGGTGCTTATGTTCTTTCAAATTAGTGCTTTGGGTTCCTTTGGATATATTCCCAGAAGTGGGAATGCTGGATCAAAAGGCAGATCCATTTTTAATTTTTTGAGGTATCGCCATACTGCTTTCCACAGTGGCTGCACAAATCTGCATTCCCACCAACAGTGCAAGAGGGTTTCCCTCTCTCCACATCTTTGCCAGCACTTGTTACTTGTTGATTTATTGATGACAGCCATTCTGACAGGTATGAGATGATATCTCATTGTGGTTTTGATTTGCATTTTTCTGATGATTAGTGATGCTAAGTAACTTTTCATATGTCCATTGGCCACCTGAATGTCCTCTTTGGATAAGTGTCTATTCAGGTCCTTTGCCCATTTTTAATTGGATTTTTTAATGTATTTCATTGATTGTTATTACAGTTGTCCCAATTTTTTCTCCTTTGCCCCCCTCTGCCTGGTACCCTCCCTCCTTTCAGCAATCTCTCCCACTTAGTTCATGTCCACGGTTTGTGCATGTAAGTTCTTCGGCTCCTCCATTTCCTATACTATTCTTAACCTCCCCCTGTCTATTTCGTACCTACCAATTATGCTTCTTAATCCCTGCACCTTTTCCCCCATTTTTCTCCCTTGCCCCTTCCAGTTGATAACCCTCCAAATGATCTCTTTATCTGTGATTCTGTTCCTGCTCTGCTTATATGCTTGCTTTTTTTAGATTCAGTTGTTGATAGTTGTCGATTTGTTGCCATTTTAATATTCATAGTTTTTACCTCCTTCCCCTTCCTCTTCAACAACTCCCTTCAACATTTTGTATAATAGTGGCTTAGTGATGATGAACTCCTTTAGCTTTACCTTGTCTGGTAAATGACAATCTGCCCTTCCCTTCTAAATGACAGTTTTGCTGGATAGAGTAATTTAGATTGTAGGTCCTTGCTTTTCACCACTTTGAATACTTCTTGCTAGTCCCTTCTTGCCTGCTAAGCTTCTTTTGAGAAATCTGCTGACAGTCTTATGGGAACTCCTTTGCAGGAAATGCTCTGCTTTTCCCTTGCTGCTTTTAAAATTCTCTCTTTATCTTTAACCTTTGGCATTTTAATTATGATGTGTCTTGGTGTGGTCCTCTTTGGGTCCAACTTGTTTGGGATTTTCTGTGCTTCCTAGACTTGTATGTCTATTTCCTTTGCCAAATTAGGGAAGTTTTCTTTCATTATTTTTCAAATAAGTTTTCAATTTCTTGCTCTCCTTCTTCTCCTCCTGGCACCCCTATGATTCAGATGTTGGTACATTTGAAAATGTCCCAGAGGCTCCTCATTTTTTAAATTCTTTTGTCTTCTTGCTTGTTCTGGTTGAATGCTTATTTCTTCCTTGTGTTTCAAATAAATTTTCAAAATTTCTTCCTTGTGTGTTAAATCGTTGATTTAAATCCCAGCTTCCTCCCCTCCACAGCTGGCTCTCTGTAGATTTTTCTTTATTTGATTTAGTGTAACCTTCATTTCTTCCTTTATGTTGTTGCCATGCTCAATGAGTTCTCTGAGCATCCTGATCACCAGTGTTTTGAACTCTGCATCTGACAGGTTGGTTATCTCCATTTCATGTACTTCTTTTTCTGAGGTTTTGTTCTGTTCTTTCATTTGGGCCATATTTCTTTCTCTCCTCAATTTGGCAGCCTCCCTGTGTTTGTTTTTGTGTATGAGGTAGAGCTACTTTGACTCCCTGCTATTGTAGAAAAGGGACCTGTGAATTGTGCAGGGTGGAGCCTTAGGTAATCACTAGGCAGGCAACCCGCCTCACCCCTCTGTGGCTCTGTGTGGCAGGAGGGCTCGGAGAGGGGGCAGTGCCACTGCCTGGCTTCGGGTGGTTTGCCCCACACTCGCCCCATTTCCAGTCACTTCACCCACTCCATGTATGTGACTGGAGCCATTCCAGCTGTTGCCCTGGTGCTGAGTCCCAAAGGGGCCAGGTTCACATACGGTCTAAGTTCATGCGGGCCCTTTA